TAACTTCTTGGGCACTTCCTTCAGGGAAAAGCAGCGCCAGAGTTTAGAGCGGTTGATGGAGTCAAAAGGTGCTTTAAGATCCAGCAAGATGGATATGGAGGGTCTACGAAAAGAGTGTCTATGTTCTAGAATTTGACGAATTGTAAAGAGTTGGTCGATACAACCTCGAACAGGTCTGAAAGCAGCCCGGTTCTCACGTGTGCACTCTTCTTCACGTGTGTGGCAGACAATCAACGGAGTATGATGCCAGCGAGAAGGTTAGCTGCAATGTTGATTAAACTAATTCCGCTATGGCTTTCACAAGAGGATCTGTCACTTGTCTTACTGAACCCAGGAGTTTTGTTAACTCCAAAACCAAGGCTGGACCTCCATCCACAAAAACAGATGGGAAGAGCCCGTCTGAGTCGGAGGCTTTATACCTATCGGTGATACTGTATTGTGGGCATCCGTTTTCGGCGGCTTTTCTTCGGTTGCTTATCAGGCGTAGGGAGATTCTCGCTCTTAGTAGAGCGTGGTCCGTGTCAACGGGTCTTGATTAATAGGAATGGCAGTCTCCAATGGATCCCGTCCAGCGGTGGCTGATGGCGATGTGGTCGATTTGAGTCGAGCGCTGTGAAGAAGTTGGCGGTCTCCATGTAAGACGGTGCCGTTTTTTGTAGGAGATGTTGGTGTTTGACAGAAACAGTCCGTGGTCAGCACAAATTTGGAGTAGGCGTTCTCCATTGACAGTCCTGTTGGCTGGGATTGCATGTGATTCACCAAGTAGCCTCTCTCTCTCGTCCAGGGATCCCACTTGAACATTGAAGTCTCCAGCGACCACCACGATGTCCGTTGGCCGAACACCTCGGAGCAGTTGAGAGAGGTCCTTGTAGAGTTCATCCTTCACGTCGGGCGAACTGCAATCTGTCGGTGCATACGCGGATTCGACGAATAAGCATCGACGCTTCGTTCTGTAGTTGTTGACTCACACTGAACTATCCAGACGTACAGCGCAAAGTCGTTTGTTATTCGAGAAGCCAACTCTCGACCTTGACACTTAGCGCAATCTGAACACCAGCAAAACCGCGAGCTCCGGATGCCGAATCGCCTGACACACGAAGAGTGAGGCGTGAGGATCAGGCTGGATCTAGAGAACGGGGGGAAATGACTGAAGTAGGGTCTTGTATGCGTGTTTCGGAGACACAGCATACGTCTAAATGGAAGATTTCAAGTGTTTTAGCTAAGGCGGCTTGTTGACCGATCTGGTAGCGTATATGGGCATTGAGTGCGGCTAAGTGAAAAGGGGATTTTGGTTTCAAAAATCTGGTAACCTCTGAGTGGTTGACCTAATTAGTTGAATGCTGAGTGGTATGCGATGCTGCAAATAGCACTGTATCCAATATTTCTTTAAGATACCGAAAAAATCATGTTATATTTAAAGTGCGATCGGGAACGTGACGGATTTTCCGCGCCCATTTTAGCATTCACGTTTGCTGGAGTCCCACGCAGATTTGGACAAAGCGCTAACCCGTACACGCAGCGATTTGGAACGCAGTCTAAAAGAGATGAGAAATCAAGTGAGTGCCATTTAGTTATGTGACTGTATGGTTTGATCAAACTGTGTATCCTTGAATTTCATGCAGAAGAAAGTAGATCTAGATGTTTTGATCGTCTTAGCCATATTCCGTCGCTCCAAAAAACCTGGTCTTGCATGTTTTGCTGAAAGCCATTAACGTCCATCCGTTAACAAAATGCATAATAAAATAACGGCATCCCCATTTCGAGAATACACCAATATATAACATATCAGATTATGTGGAAATGGTATTGATGATGGAATCAAAATTCGATGTAACAAAATAGGCTGGGCAACTTGAGCGTGACTGGTGTATGACCTTTGGCATTTCGCGGCCTTGTAATTATTTCTAGAGATCCATCTGGTGACCATATGTGATTACCTGTCTCATATTTACCGATCGACTGGTATTTTATGCCTCCAGGTCCAGTAACCCTTGAAACAAGAGACGTTGACTAGTTACTTTTATTATATTTTACAAAGTTATGATGCAACAATTTATCGCACGTGAGATAAAGGCAGAGATTGACAACAATACAGTTGTAGATTAGCGTCTGGCATATTTTTTATGGTTGAGGAAATATCAAAAAGCCGGTTCGTTGTCATCTAATGGCCGCTAATTATTACAAGTCTGCAACAATCTTGGACAGCCTAACGTATCCATCGAGATTACCAACCCTTAGTCGGATGGTTCGGTCCGCTTGCTACAGAACAAACGGTGCCAGAACAGTTACCATGTGACTTGGATTACCGGTTTCTGCGAGAATTGCGAAGCTATACCTTCGACAAAAATCATTGTCGAAGTGTAAAACGATGAGCTCGTTGGTTTCTGTAGATCAGCATCAATGACATTCAACTAAAAACCATTTGTTGGACACATCAATGATAGAGTGACATCTAGTGACGAGAAAACGTTTATTCTGATGAACCCGACCAATTTACACCCCTACCGGAATGCAAGTGGAAAGGAAAATATTAGTAGTAGGTTTCCTACCCATAAACAATTTTTAATAATGTGTGGTTTGTTTCTGTATTCGATTTCCCTCAGTTGGCAATCCAGGATGGTAGAGAAACTGTAACGGGCTATACAAACGTACGAGAATGTCTCATTTTACTGTTTGTCCCAAGGAAGATAAGTTGAACAGTATCCTTCCAGCACAATGAAGTAAACATCCATACGTCTGGCATCATAAAGTTGTAGTCATTTTATCGTGCAATCTACATGTTGAAGTGGGTGATTCGTAATCCTGGCCTCAACCTTTTTGGGAGCCTCTGAGTATTGCCGATCCTGTAATTGTATCGAAATACCAAGACCTGTCGTGCCGTGGATGGATTTCGGATCCCCTTGAATGGAAAACCACAGGACCGCAGCTAGAAAACCCTGAGCAGTAACGTGTATAGGTATTCCGGTGTTTCTGAATACCAGGAATTAACTGTACTTCATTGAAAAGAAAGAATTTGGATTAGTAGCGTGGCATCGTATCTGAATAACGTCGCAAACAAAA